CTTTGAAATCTCTATCTTGGACTCCTCTAAGCGGATGCGCTTATGCGACTCCGAGAAGATATGTTCCGATGCTCCTCTCTTCCGCGTCAACCGCATGGGTGCTAGGGGCTGTGATGGAACACAATTATTCTGCGGCATCGAATGCTCTACATGTAATGCAACATGCTAAATTCATTGGTGAATGAGCTATGAAAGAAGAGTATCCACACTCACATAATCAACAAGCGCCTTGATGTAGTCCGCCTTCAGTCGCCGCGATTCCCCACTTTTGAGAAGCCTGCGACCGCTAGAGATGACCGTCAATCTATGAATTGAGCATAGCTGACGCAAAACGTTGAGATTGAAACATTGCAAGGCATTGGGCTGTAGAACAGGTCGCTTCAGCGTACGCTCAGCGTGAGCAAGGGTGTAGTTGACACCGATCATCAACAATCTACGTTTGGGGTCACTTGAGAATGCTGGAAGACAGACAGGAACAATCTACCGATGTATATAGGCTTGTACTCCGATAGCAGGCGGACGTACCGCTGGTATAAGCACACGACGGCCGAGGAGCGACAGACAATAGACATCAGAGAGAGAAGTGCAGGCACGACGAGTAGCCAGACCCGACGGCTGTGAAGGCTGTGCGCATGAACAATTAGCATCGGGGATGTGAGGATAGTGGTCAGCCTACCTCACGGCGAGCGTACGCAACAAGCGGAGACGAGGAGCCGCTACTCTGAATCACCGGAGATGCAAGTGAGGGACAAGGGCATAGATAGCGATGCGTGTTGGCGATCCAGAAGGCTTGGAGGGCCGGGCTGCGGTGCTCAGTGTTCAAGTTGTTTTCGGGAAAGGATGGACGGACGTACTCATGCCTGTAAACCCCCTCACGGCCGACTTGTGCGGCGAATCCTGGCTGTGTCGGGGCTCATGAGCATTGTATGGCGAGTGGCGTCGGTGATTGCAGCACTTGCTGCCTTCTCGCTCATTGGAGGGACAGCGGATGACGTCTGCGCGTCATACAGCATGTGGCTGTCTCCCGGACGTTGATCGTTCTTGCTGTCTCGCTCGTTGGAGGGGCGGCGGGCAGAGGCGTCCATGCGTCATTATTCGACCATCTCAATCCGGTTTACTATGCTATGCTCTGCTTTCTGACATCGCATGTTTCAACCGACACCGACGACACCAACGACTACATCCCCATTTGACAGCCCGCTGCCTCTTCCCGCCTGTATGCCCCTCGTTCAGTCTCATGTTCCCCATGCTCCACCCCCCGTCACTCCACGGTAATCTTCCCGATGTACATACTCGTGCAAGGATCGCGGAACGTTTCACCAATCCAAAGTCGATGATATTTATTCAGGATGTCGCATAAGTTAGTACTCCTGCGAGAACGCTGAGCTCATCGTGAAGCACGCATAAAGCTTATCGCGTACCTTTGCCAGAGTATCACAAACTTAGGACGCAGAGCGCCGACTAAGCCTATGACCTTATGATCAAACACTTACTGGCTGTTGTCGAAGTAAGGATGGACACAAAGATGATCAAGATAAAGCAGT